TGGAGGATGATCCACAGAGCGCCATGACCCCGGGGCAAGTTTTCTAGGGCTCTCTATGCCTGGTCCTACACAAAATGGATTGAGCTAGCCAAACTCTCAGAACTCTGATCTTCTAACCACTAAGGTCTCATCCCAAGTTGGCTACGCTTCCAGATGTTGCTGTTGTTGAGTCATTTCAGCCGTGTCCAACTCTTGGTGACCCCATTTGGGGTTTTCTTGGCAAGGGTACTGAAGTGGCTTGCCACTTCCTTGTCCAGCCCATTTTATAGGTGAGAAAACTGAGGCAAACAGGGTTAAGTGACTTACTCAGGGTCACCCAGCCAGTAAGTGTCTGATGGATTTGAACGCAGAAAGATGAGTCTCCCTGATTCTAAGCCCAGTGCCTGTGGCCTGCTGAACTACAGAACACCTATCTCTGGTTTCTTTTTCTCACTTTGCCGTTATGTTGGGCCAGAGGGTAGATAATTGGTCATTACTAAGAGTTGTGGCCTATGGTAGATTGTGATGAAAATTTTTGAGCTGCCAGGTATAATGAGATTCTCAAATCTTTCTTAAACCTTAATTCTTCTTTTTCTGAATTTCATGTAAATTTATTTTTAGAAGTAAAAACATTCAAAGTAACAAATTTTTATTATAGAAGTGGTCACACAAATATTACTAAGTACCATTACAATTACATCCTGCATTTAAATTAGAAACATCATTTATATACTAGTAAAAAGGGAATAACACCACTTGTAAGTCTGGGATTTTTCCCCTCAAGTAAAATGAAAATTACCAGACTGAAAGATTGTTGATGACTTAAGTAGGAATCATGAGACCTGGATCCTAGTTCCAGTTCAGCCCTTGAACATCTATGACCTTATGCTAGTTATTTTACTCCTTTTGGCCTCAGTTTTCTCATCTGTAAAATGGAGAGGATGGACCAAGCAAAGCAGAGTGGATAGAGCACGAGGTTTTGGGTCAAAGGGCCTCATTCACAGTCTCTCTACCTGTGTGATCTTAGACAAATTGCTCGATCTCATTGAACCTCAGTTTCCTCCTCTGTAAAACAGGGTAATTGGACTAGATGGCCTCACCTTTGAAGTCCCTTTCAACTCCAGATCTATGATTCCATTCAAGGGTCTACAGAACTTAATTCTGAATAGTCTTTCCCCAGGCCATCTGTGCTGCCTCCACGTTGAGCTCTGCTACATTTCTGCTCAACCAGAGCACTGGCCCCTCTAAGCCCTGCCTTGGTCCCTGGCTCTCTGGACGAGGGAGTGCATCTGACTCCACCTAGTCCTACTTTGGATAAAGGAGGAAGCCTGCCCTGGCCCAGATACTGTAGCAGCATCCTTCAACTCTGTTCTGTACATCTGTATGGTTGTGTCCTTGGAATTCTTGACTTTGTACATTTACCTGAAGCATATCAACTGTCTGATCATTAAGTCTAATTCTACCCTTCAAAACTTCATTGACGATTTTAAGCTAGCATCCAGGCTTAGTTTCAATAAGTCCGTGTGGTCTTATTGACAAATGTACTCCTTCCAAGGAGCCTGTCTGTATCACATCAGCTCCTTCCAGTGGCCAGAAGTAGATGCATTCTTCCTGATTCAGAGTCTGAATTCCCTTTGAAGTCACGTCTTAAGTTACCGTTTCCTGGCAGAGAAGACACCTTCAGCTTAAGGCTCATGAGCAGAGCAGAGATCAAACCATTCTCAGCTCAGGTTACTCATTCTGCCTACTTCCCCAGGTCCCCACAGAGGAGAGCTAATCCCCAATCTCCTACCCACAGTTTTAGAGCATCATTAAACCTATTCAACCCTCAGAATGATAAGAGATCATTTCCACCAAATGAGGAGACTGAGGCCAAGAGGCGATGAAGTGATCTCCCAGGTATTAAAAGACAGAGCTGGGATTTGAACCCAGGCTTTCTGATTCCAAACCCAGCACTCTTTTCATCTTACATCCACTTTCCATACCACTTTTCCACTCTTACCATCATACTGGCACCCTAAAGGGGAATCACTCCTTCACAGATATAATCTCTCATAAAATGAAATCAAGGCTTCTTTTCTTAAAATCTAGAATTATATCCTGAAAACAATGGAATAATAGGAGCTTTTTGCTGATGTAAGTTTTTCACTTTTTAGCAGGATTGAAAGCAAACATGGTCTCTGTACCTCTGCAGTGTGCCTATGAGATCTAGCTATGGACTAACCAGTGCCTAGCACTTAGTAGGTGCTTTATAAATGTTTGATGACTTGACTGGTTGTCAAACAAGGAATTAAAGGCAAACTGATGGGTAGACTGGGTTGGTTATTGGGAAATAGGGGGCAGAGCTGGTATTGAGCAAGGGAAGCAGTAACAAGATTTAATAAAGGTACAAGGTAGCTACACATGAAGGGGCAGTGGTTTACAGCTTAAGGGAGTCAGAGATATGGACAAGAAACAAGGTTCCTCAGAGTAAGGGTCAGACCTACAAAGTTCTCTTGGAGCCAAGCCTAGAGGAAGTCAGGAGAGGTCATTCATGACTGCTCCAACAAGTCTCTTAGCTGCCGCTCCCTTTGAGGTTGTGTTTCTGATCTGTCAGCTCAGCTCCATCAAGCCTGGCCAATGTAATCCAGAGGTAAAAGGTCTACTTTCATTTCTAGCTGGTTTCTATGGGTCAGAGTGCTGTTCTAGGTAAAGGGTCAGAGGAAAGAGTCAGAATTCTTCAGGGACCCAGAGAATGGCACTTTAGCCTCCTTTTCATCATGGGCACTGTCTGCTGGGGCTAGCTCAGGGACCCTGTTACAGCACAAACATCATCAGGCTGTCCTGTGACTCTGCTAAGAGATTTTCTGGTGACCTTGTAATTCCCTGTCATACATCATCGAGAATCACTTCAGTTCACACTGAACTTGTCTCCCACGCTCCCCAGGACTCTGAAATAGTGCAATAACAGCAAATAAAAATGCTGACATACTAACCACAGAGTAGCATTTCTGGTCAGGGAATACACATTATGAAGTCTATATACGGACTCTGCTTATTCATGTTTAAAAGATTTTGAAGCAAAAAAACAGACTAGTTCAAACCCATTGTAAACTTGCAAAACTGTCCCCCAATTTACAAGCTTCATCATCTCTTTTCAAGTCCACTGTAAATGATGCCATTATAGGCTTAGAGTACTTTTAAAGACTCTTGAGAAGAAGCCTGGTGTACTGCCTAGACAGGTAAGTGATGCAGTAGACAGAAGGCTGGACCTCGAGTCAGGAAGAGATTCAGTTGTTTTTCAGTCATGTCTGACTCTTTGTGACCCCATTTAGGGTTTTCTTGGCAAAGATACTGGAGTGGTTTGCCATTTCCTTCTCCAGCTCATTTTACAGGTGAGGAAACTGGAGGCAAACAGGGTGAAGTGACTTGCCCAGGGTCACACAGCTAGTAAGTGTCTGAGGTCGAATTTGAACTCAGGAAGATGAGTCTTCTTGACTCCAGGTCTGGCGCTCCATCCACTATACCACTTAGCCTTCCCCAGGAAGACTTGAGTTAAAATGGTTTTCAGACACTTATTAGTAGTGTAACCCTGACTCAGTTTCTTCACTTGTAAAATGGAGATGATAATAATAGCACCTAACTCACAGGGTTGTTGTGAAGATAAAGTGAGATGATACTTATAAAGTGCTTTGCAAACCTTAAAGTACAATATAAATGCTAGTGGGAAGAGGAAGAAGAGGAGGAGGAGGGGGAGGGGAGGGGGAGGAGGAAGAGAAGGACAACATCTACAACAACTGAACAACTTCACTGGGACTCAGAAGACCTCAGTTCAAGCCCCAATTCTGACACCTCTTAGGTGTGTGACTGTGGGGAAATTACATAGTCTCTCTGAGCCTCAGTCTCCTCATCCATAAAATGGAGAAAATACTTGTACCACTTACTTTACAAAACTGTTGGGAGAAAATAACTTATTGAAACTTAAAGCACTATAGGAATGTGAGCTATTGTTATTAAGTAATGAGACTGATACCACTGAGGACAGAGGTGGCAATCAGCTAAAATAACACACACACAAAAGGGATTTACATTATAGCCCATTACATCAAGAGTAGTTGACTATCAAAATGAGTTTTACAGATGGCTAAGGACTCTCCTTCTCTAGCTATTTTTTAAGAATATTTGTCTAGAATAACAGAAATAGTCTGACTGGCAGTTGGGTAGGGGGGCTTCATGAATCTCAAAGGTCCCTCTTTATGATTAGCTAGTTCTGTTATTAGCTAATTTCTACCTGTTCCATACAGATACTTACTTTGAAAAACATAAGCAATATTATAGCTCCTAATTGTTCCAAAAACAGTTCTAGACAGCTAGATAATGCAATGGATAGAGCACTGGGCCTCAAGTCATGAGGATATGAGTTCATTTCTGGCATCTGACACTTATGAGTTGTGTGACCATGGGCAAGTCATTTAACCTTGCTTGCCTCAGTTTCCCCATCTATAAAACAGGGTTGATAATAATAGTACCTACCTTGCAGGGTGGCTGTAAGGATCAAATGATACAATATTTGTAAAAGGCACTTAACACAGTGCCTGGCACATAGTAGGCGCTATATAAGTGCTAGCTATTATTATTAAAACAGAAATCCCCCCAAAAAGGGAAGTTGACAGGACATTATCCATTAATAAGCAAGCACCATTACAGCCTTGTTTTGTGAATTCTTGTCTTCGGAGTCATTTGGGGCTGTGATCATCTTCATACCACTAGCACTAATTCAAATGAGATAACATACGTATAACACTTTATACCCCTTAAATATATAAATGGTATATATTATTATTATATTAAATTATTATATTAAATTATTATTATTATTATACTAAATATATAAATGGCTATATAAATGGTAGCTATTATTTTTTTTCTGGTTCTAGAGTTTGTGGCATTTGAGGGGACAGACCTACTTTGATAAAATATGGTTCATGAGGAAGTATGACATAATTAATAAAACAGAATGACTCATCTTGCAATGCCTTTACCTCAGTATATTACCCGTGGCTTTCCTTTCTTGGGGCAGAAGGTCTGGGTCTCTCAAGACTTCTTCCAGCAAATTTAGGACATTCATCTTTAGTTCACTGTTGAGTTCAAAATCCTACAAAATAAAAATAACTTTAGTCTAAGAGTTTAAGATTTGAAGCGGTAAGTCCTAAACCACGTGTCACCATTTTCCAGGGTACATTCCTATATAACCAACTAGGCCTTGGTTTATTTAGGTTATGTTTTTAAACACTCTGCACATGATAGAAGGATCTGTAAACTCAGCTATGGCATTTTCTTTGTGTCTGCCATTGGGAACATGATGGATGAAGTAATTGAGTCAATTTAACAAACAAATATTAAATGCCTACTATGTTTTAGCCGTCAGAAGCTATTGAATAAAAGGAAAAGGTATGAAGGTAAATTTGTATTTATTGAATCACTTAACAGGTACTTACTAAGCACCTTCTAGTGCTAGGCACTATGCCAGACACCATATTTGGTGGGAGTGTGGAGAGGCGGTGGGGGGGGGGGGGGGAACACACAGATGAATAAGACACAGTTCCTACACTCACGGAGCCTATGGTCTAGTTGGCTACACCTACAAGGCTGCCCTTTCACAGGAAAAGGATATACAGTTTTAACAGTTTAGATTTTTTTTCTTCCTGAATGCGTTTCATTATATGCCACTCTTAGCTTAAAGGTGAACTATTTGTTATTTAAAATGATGTAAAAATGATTAAATGAAAGAACCCAAATAAAGGAAAGGAAAAAAATAAATTTCAGTGTGTTCTTGGCTTTGCAGAAACTAACCTACTTTGCAAATTTTCTACCACTATAAATGTCCTTTATCATTCTATTAATTCCTGTCATTACCATGAGCTCACATATCAGTCTGACCTTGGTTTTGGGGAGGGGTTACATAACGATGAATTTTAAACACTCTACACGTCCATTTCACAATTCAGTGTCTGTTTCCTTGGGTACGGAAGGCACAGGGCACACTGAGTACTGAGATCAGGCATAACAAGCCAGCACTGTCCAATGGGGCTCAGCCACTCATTTCTATTTCTTTTACGCATTGAAGGGGGGAAAGTGCAATGTTTTTATTGCTATTTTCTTTATTCTGTTTTCCTTTTCAAGGTAGAATGGTTTGAAAGATTAACCTCCCAAGTCCTTACTCTGGGTGTCCTAATAATAACATCTCACAGTCATGTCACACTTTACAGTTTACAGGGCACCTTCCCCATAATATTAACCTGAGGGAGCAGGGAAGTATTATCCCTGTGTTGTAGATGAGGAAAGTGAAGCTCAGAGGTCACAGGATAATAACAGTTTAGATTTACAGCCAGCAGGAACATTAAAGGACATCCAGTCCAACCCTCTTATTTTATAGGTGAGATGGAATTAGAAAAAAGTGAAATGACTCGGAAAAAGTCACCCAGCAGAGCCTGGATTTCAGTTTAGGTGCTGTTCAGCATTCTTTCCATGGCATCATGCTGGTAATGGGATTTCCCCATGGCCATGCAGTTCACAAATGCCAGAGCCAGGACTCAAACCAGGTCTTCTGACTCCAGACAGGTTTTCTCTATTGTATGTTCCCTCCTTGCTATATACCCTACGTACTCTGCTTCTCCATCAGAGACTCTCACAGCAATTAGGGACCATTTTCCTTAATGCTAGCTGATAGGTGTTAATTTAACATGCAAGTCTTCAAGTGGTTATGTTATATATTTAATAATGCAATTAATCTGGTTATAAGACATGAAAAGGCAGCTAGCACTGGGAGAAGATGTAATGGAGACAGCCCTGGGCCTGGAGTCAGAAGATTCATCTTCCTGAGTTCAAATCTGGCCTCAGACATTTACTAGCTGTGTGACCCTCAGCAAGTCACTTAACCCTGTTTGCCTCAGTTTCTTCATCCATCAAATGAGCTGGAGAAGGAAATGGCAAATCACTCCAATGCCTCTGCCAAGAAAACCCCAAATGAGATCACAGAGTTGGATGTGACTGAAACAACAAAAGCCATGAAATGAAGATAGAAGATATCAGGATAGTGACTGTACCCATAGCTAATTAATCAGTCAACAAACATTCTGAGACCCAACAGAGGAGTCATAAGTGAAGTACAATAGAATGCTCTGGGAAAACTTTAAAGAAAAGCATCCTTATGGGGGAAAAATGCTCTTTTATTTATTTGGGGTTAGGGTAGTTTACCCTTAAAAAAAATGCTCATTAGGACTTCTCAAAACAGCACTTCTAATATATTGAGAGTCCAACTGAGAACTGTTTCTGCTAAGAACTTCTAGCTAACATAGAGCACATTTTATAACAAGGGTCAGATACAGGGTATCCCCAAAGTCGTCATGTCATTTTAAGCTTTGATTGGCTAAAACTGCACGAAGACTTTGGGGACACCTTGTATTTATGATACAATTACCATTCACTTTCCTAAGAATCCTTAATATTTCTATTAACTTGACAATTTTCATCATCTCAGCTGGTCATACAGTCGATAGAATGTCAGGCCTAGAATCAAGAACCGAGTTGAAATCCAGTCACTGACACTTACTAGTTGTGTGACCCTGGGGATATCACTTAACCTCTGTTTGACTTAGTTTTCTCAATTATAAAATGGGGATAATAAAAGCACCTACCTTGCAGGATTGTTGTGAGGATCAAAAGAGATAATATTTAGCAGATATAGCTTAGCAGAGTGCCTGGCACATAACAGGAACGCTATAGATGCTTATTCCTTTCCTCTTCATTTGATTGATACAGGTATACTGTAATGTATTAATGTGTTATATAATTGTATTGATAATTATATGATGTATTAATTGCCCAATGATATCTGTTAATTAATCAATTAATACACTAGATAATTTATACAATGTGTAATGATGCAGGTTATCATTCTTATTTTGCCATTGAGGAAACTGAGGGACAGAGAATTTAGATGACTTGCCTAAGGTTTCACAGCTAGTTGAGTGCCAGAGCCAGGAACAGAATCCAGATTTTTCTGATTCATAATCTATACTATTTTCCATTCTTTGCAATAAAAGGTAGAACAGAAACTAAAACTGAGCCAAGAGACCTTATATCCTTCAATCTGCTTATTTTATCTAATCAACAATCTAATCTTCCTCCACCAATGATAGCAGCCCCATCACTGCTGTCTCATTTCCTGTGATTCTTATGCCTATATTTAAGTAAATCCTCAGGGGACTAACCCAACACACTGAAGGTCTGCCTCCCTCTGTTTCTTTTAATATTTTGTGGATGTCAGTGCAGAACACAGGTTGTCTGTTTATTGTCTAAGTCATTATATGATTCTAGATTTGGGGGCAGAATGAATCTTATTAGACGTCACCTAGTTCACCCCCTTCATTTTACAGATAAAGACAACGTAGAATAAGGTCAAGAGTATTGTTCAACGGCCACACAGTTGATGCTGGGATCTCGGACTTTGATCACAAGTCCTAGGTTTAGATTCTCATTTTGAAACTAGCTGTGTGAGGATGAGGCAAGTCATTTAACTTCCCTTAACCTCTGCAAAAATGTGGATGGGCCTTTGTAGGCAGTCATCTTCAAGGACAATTCCATCCCTCAGTATTACTGCTCTGCAAGATATGCTGAAAGGAATAGTTTTAGAGAAACTTGGGAAGAGTTGTATGAACTGATGCAGAGTGAAGTGAGCAGAACCAAGAGAACTGTTCATACAATGACTACAACACTATAAAGACAATTTTGAAAGACTTAAGAACTCTGCTCAATGCAATGACCAACCATGGATTTTAGAGGACCAATGATGAAGCATACCATCTGTCTCCTGTCAGAGAGGTGATACACTCAAAATGCAGAACAAGACATACATTTTTGGACATGTCGATGTGAAAATTTGTTTTGTTTGCACTTGTATTTGTTATAAGAATTTTGTTTTTCTTTTTCCTTTCAATTTGGAATGGAAGAAAGGAAAAGGAAACCCAGGAATCCAGAAGGATTCCTCTGAGAGAGAGAGAGAGAGAGAGAGAGAGAGAGAGAGAAGGAGAGAGAGGGAGAGAGAGGAGAGACAGACAGACAGAGAAAGAGACAGAGACAGAGAAGAAAACAGAAGAAAGGCCCCAAAAGAATTACGGATAAGCAGAATAGCTTTGAAAGTTAAAGTTATTAAATATTTACAAAGAAAAGTAAGCATTAGGTAAATTCATGGTTTCATGTACAATCCTTTGTATTCTATAATATATAGAGAAATTTTATTTGGTGTTTATTGAGTTCAGAATAAAGAAAAATGGGGAAAAACTCCATCCTTTAAATGGAGTAGGAGAGATAAGGAGAATTGTTATTCTGGACCTGATTCTGACTGATAAATCGGAACTGATGATTGAAATAGAGAGGACAAGAAGATTGGGGGCAAAGTTATATTGGGAACAAAATAGGACCCAAGAAGGAAAAGACCCCCTGAATGGGATGATATTAATGAACTATTCAAGTTCTTTTGCTTCTTCATTTTCTTCCAAAGAGATGGGACTTTGGAATCAGAAGAATAGAAGAAAAATAGTTATTAATAAGGAGAAACCCCTAAGAAATCAATGGTAAGGCAGCCTCTAGTTGACTTTAATGAGTTCAAGTCACCAAGCCTGGACAAACTATATCGTAGGATACTGAGAGAACAATATAGAAATATTCAATATGCTCTGTTGAAACGCGATAGCAACTGTACAATAAAAAAATCATCACTTTGTCATGCAGGAAGATGGTTGCCTTATTTCAGTTAACATTAAAATATTAATAACATATGTGCCTAATATTTTGTGTTTATCCAGGATTTATAACCTTGGCTATATGTTCTTTTTCATTATTTATTTCTTATGACCTGTAAGTGAGCTCTACCCTCCACTCAATCTTGAAGAAGGAAACTGAATCCCATGAGAAACAGTTCTATGATCAGAAATAAAGAGATTGTAAAGGGCACACTTGATGGTCTAATATTTCAATGTAAAATTCAAGGACCAGCTTTTTGTGAGGTACATTAGTTGGGGATGCCACAAGGTGGTGCTCCTGAGACAGCTGGATAAAGCTCTATGGACACTGAAAAGCTTGCCTAATCCTTCC